TGAAGGGGGTAGGGTAAAGGGGAGCTGATATTAAGGAGCAGAAGAAAGAAAAGAGTGTTTTGAAACGGGTTGTGGTAGTAATTGTACCATGCTGATTGGTGTGATTGAACTGTAGAATGATATCTGTATTAGCTCCCAATAAAAATGGTATTTGCACTGTGGTGCTGGCAAAGAATATTGAAAATATCATGGACTGCTAAAGAAGAAGTAAGACCAGAGTACTCCTTAGAAGCAAGGATGGCAAGGCTTTGTCTTAGGTACTTTGGACGTATGGTTAGGAAGACTAGTACCTGGACAAGGACATGGTGTTTGGTAAAGTGAAGAGGTGGTGAAAAAGAGGAAAGCCTTTGAAAAGATCGATTGCCACCATGGCTGCATCAATGGGCTGAGGCATAGAACAGCTGTGAGGATGCACAGGACGGTGCAGTGTTTCGTGCTGCTGTGCCCAGGGTCGCTATGGGTTGAAGTTGGCTCGATGGCACCTAACAGCAGCAGCATTTCACTTTGTTCTCCCACATAGCCATCCACATAAATATTGGTTGAGCAGCCCAGTGCCGAAGTGATTTAGGCCCTCACATGCATATGCCATTTGGCTCAACTTCCAGGGATAAGCTCCTTGCACAGATGATAATGACAACCCATGACTCCATTCCTCACTGACACGGAGGGCCTCTCCCACCCAACACCTAGGTCCACTGCTCAAGAATCGGAATATATTCCTTGGGCCATGGGACTCTGTCACCTTCCAGAACCTTACGCCCCACCACAGCAGGGGAGGAGGTCAGTGTGGGAGGTGGGAGGTCGCTCCAAAGCATAAATGATTGGTTCACAGTAAAAGTAACTTTTTAAAATTCCTCTAGCCTCCCTTTCCCTTTATACAGAAGGTACTTGTACCCATCAACTAGGTACCAGGGTCTAAATGTAAGTGTCACCTCGGAGCATGGATGCACTCCAGCTCTCTGGAGTTGGGTTAATTCCCAGCACTAACTCTCATCTGCTCACTGTCATTATTTGCATAAACCTCTGATTCCAACAATGCAGTGTAAGCTACTTAGAGATAAAGAACTGTGTCTTGTAGATCTTTGTTGCTTTGCCCTCTAACCCAGGTTTAACACAAAATTTTCAAAGAACAATGTGCAATAACTGTTTTAAATGAGAGTTGAAATAATCAAATGTCATAAAAGAGATGTACTTGTTAAGATGAAATTAGTGAAATACTCACCAGCCTGATGTGGCAATTGGGTACAGAACACACCAGAATTTGAACTGACTGGTTGTCAAGAGAGGGCTCATTTCTGGTCCTAAATGGCTTTGCCTCAAATTAAATGTCACTTTTCCCACCTCAGTTCCTGTCTCTTCATTCTGAAAGTGACAGACTTAGGAGTACATTAATTCTAAGTTCCTCTAGGGCACTTAAGTCCCACAGTTCTATGAAACTGAAGGTAGTATCAATGATCCCTTTGTGAAATCCCTAAAGAATATCATGAGACAAACCCCAAACTAAGTAACTGGTGGGATAGTCTGTTTAGAGCCTGAGACATTGATTCCCCCGGCTGTACTTGTACTACGAGATGTTTTCTCCTGACATATATGACAGGTGTGGAAAGAGCCAATGCAATGCCCTCGCCAAGGATATTAAAGACTCACCTTCCCGCTCACCTATTGCCTCCATCTTTCTGGGAAAACAACTGCAAGGTAAACACAAAAACCACTTATTACAGCAACAGAAAGGGAAAGTAAGTCTGCCGACAGCAAATCGAATCAGGAGTATATTAACTTCTTGAATTTTATGTAAGACATGAAGACATCTGGATTGTTAAGCGAGAAACAGAGACATGGAGGAGGCAGTTAGTGCCTGGCTCTGCCAAAAGGAGGCAGGGGGGAATGATGCTGGAAGGTCGAGCTTGTGAGAAGTCTCCTTCTAGGGCAGAGGAAAGAGGGAGTGAAATGGAAGCATTTCCGAGTTTGTGAAGGGAATGCTGACAGGGCTGTGTTCTTTTTCTTTTTTTTTTAAGCAAAAGGGAAGAAATTTATTGAAGCCCATACGGGAAACCCTAGAGGGGCCCAGCATCCCCTACTGTGTAGGCATGCCCAGCAAAGGGTCACTCCATTCACTGTACCCCCATTTCCCAAAGGGACTCCCCTTGAGCCGAGCCCCAAAGCCCCAGGACTGGCGGGGGTGGGGACGAGAGCTGTGTTCTTAGAGAGGGCTTTCAGCCTCAATCTCTAGTGAACTGCGTGCTCTTCCAAATAAGGATTTTATTTCCGTTTTTCTAGTTTCTAGTGACTCATAAGTTCCTGGCACATAGAGGGCATTGAAAACATGTTTGTTGAATAAACAAATATTGAAATGACTGCAAAAGTGAATGGAATCAAGGGTGTAAACTGAAATATTGTGCTTGGTTAAAAAAATGTTTAAAGGATGACATTGCCTATTTAGAGGTGGAACTACAAGGGGGGGGGGAGAAAGATGTATTTCTAGTGAGGAAGTGGAAAGTTGAGAGGATTTACATCAAGTGATCTGAGTGCAATCTGATTCAATACCAGGATTGCCTTGAAGGTAGTGAGTTTGGATTTTGGCTTTAGACACTCCAGAACCCTCTTGATGTGAAACAACTAGGAATTATTAAGAAAATACAATAGTTTATTTTATTTATCTTTACTTTTAATTTCTTTCAAAGTGAGTTTAGTAACGCGGTGTATTTCTTTTACTATTTCTAAGTTTTTATTGAGCTTTAATCAACATCAGACGGAAGATGAGAGTTTCTACTCCCATAAAGAGTTACAGTCTCAAGAACCACAATCACTGAGAGTTACCCTGTCCCAGAGAGTCCGAATTGACTCGGTGAAGGCAGTGAGCTTGGCTTTATAATTAACATATCATACAATCCCATCGTGTCGTCATATCCAGAAGGGCTATGCAGTCATCACCACAACCAGCATTGGGAACTTTTCTTCCTTCTTGTACCCACGATCTTGCCTCCTCCTTTCCCCCACCCTCCCCTTCTACGACCCCAGGAAATCATTAATCCCGTTACTCTCTTGCACCCATCCTTGTTTTTCTATACAGATAAACACAGGAAACACGGGCAAAAACAAACAAGGACCCAGCAACAATACCATATAAAATAGAGAAAGATCTCAATCTGAGAGAAAGCTCTAAGGTTTCATTTTAAATGTGCTACTGATACTCTTTTTAAAATTCAAAGGATGAAGAGGGAGCTAAAACTGATACAATTAAGTTGAAATGGTAGTGTTGGAGCCTAGGAAATAGGGAAAATGAAGACCTGAAGCAGATTATGAAAAACACTCATAAAAATCCAGGCCTACTCCTCTACTCAAAAACTCCCTCAATGCAAGAAAACTTTGTTCGAATAACCCTGCATTCTGTGATGCTCACCTTCCCGACACGATCGCTGAAAACAAAATGGGCGCATAAGCAAATGTGTTGAAGAAACCTAATGGTGCCCAGCTATCAAAAGATATAGCATTTGGGGTCTTAAAGCCTTGAAGATAAACAAGCGGCCATCTAGTTGAGAAGCAACGAAGCCCATATGGATTAAACACACCAACCTGTGTGATAATGAGTTGTCAATGGAATCAGGTAGCAGGCATCAGAGACCCAAAACAAAAAATCATATCAATGTGAATTAGGGGAAGTGCAGAGTGGAAACTCAAAGCCCATCTGTAGACAATTAGAAGTCCCCTTACAGAAGGGCCCCAAGGAAGAGATGAGTCAGTCAGGGTGCAGTATAGCACCAATGAAACATACAACTTTCCTCTAGTTCTTTAATGTTTTCTTCCCTCTCCCCCCCTATCATGATCCCAATTCTACCTTACAAATCCGGCTAGACCAGAGCATGTACACAGGTACAGATAAGAGCTGGAAACACAGGGAATCCAGGACAGACAAACCCCTCAGGACCAATAATGAGAGTAGCGATACCAGGAGGGTAAGGGGAAAGTGGGAAGAGAAAGGGGGAACCAACCGATCACAATGATCTACATATGAACTCTTCCCAGAGGGACGGAAACCAAAAAGTGGGTGAAGGGAGACATCAGTCAGTATAAGATATAAAAAAAATAATAATAATTTATAAATTATCAAGGGTTCATGAAGGAGGGAGGGTAGGAGAGAGGGGAAGTGAGCTAATACCAAGGGCTCAAGTAGAAAGAAAATGCTCTAAAAATGGTGATGGCAACAAATGTCCAAGTGTGCTTGACACAATGGATGGATGGATGGATTGTGATAAGAGCTGTACGAGCCCCCAATAAAATGGTTTAAGAAAACAGAAAGGAAATCCAGGCCTACTAAAGGACTACACCCTCTGGAGGAGAACCTTTTCTGTTTTGATCTAAGCGCTCAGCTTCCCAGAGAATATGTAACCATAGGTCTCTGCCCTCGACAATTTGAAATTCAAACGTGCAGTGTCCAAAAAAACTGCAAATTGATAAATTAGCACAAAGTGGGACTATTGTTCCAGATGTCTGTGTTCCTAAGGTGGCTAGGACAAAACCAAATGGAATCCTCTTGGGAAGTGTATCATTTCAACCTGGCGTCACATGACTCACAATTGAGCTTGCCCGCCGAAATTACAAAACACACAGAGGAACAAGGCACTATGGGAGCGGGTCTACAAAAAGAACAAAGGGCATAATTAGACTTCAATCACTTCCAAAAATACATTGTCAGATGTCAAGGATAAAACATCCATGAATGGTTAAATTGTGTAAAGAAATAAAAAATCGAATAAAAAATAAATTATAATTTTAAAATAAAATTGGTAAATAAAGCTTTCATAACTGAGAAGTATATAAATCATGAAAAAAACTCAAGATTATGTTAAATTTCAGAACAAAGACAGCTGAAGAGAAAATTAGTGAACTTGCAGAGCAAGATGGGATGAAAGAGAAAGATTTTTGACTAGCGGTAAGAAATATAATAGGGAGAAAAGAAGAAATTTTTCATTATAAAGTAGCAATGAATAGATTTAAAAGCTTAAGGAGTTAAGCGGACCTAATCAATTTTTAAAAGACTTTCCTCACTGATGCATTGAAAAACTGGAGACTGAACAAAATAGGTCTTCCGATTTGGGAAACAAGAGCAAAGAAAACACCTTTAGAGTAGAGTTTCCCAGCTTCCAAATATTTACATGGAGAGCTGAGTAGTTTGGGCCTGAGCTGCCCTGTGTGTGTAAGCTATTTTAGCAGTATCTCTAATGCCTGGACTCTACTCAGTAGATGTCAATACCAACTCCCCCACTTATGACAAACAAAAATATATTTACATATCACCAACTATCTCCTGCTGTATAAAATCACACTGAGTTCACAACCACAATTTTAGAATGAAAAACTGCATGGCACTGAAATGGCTTTCCATGAATCTGAGTTTGAAAGCCAAAAAAAACCATCAAGCCAAACTCGCTGCCAGAGAGTCGATGCCAACTCAGATCCACCCTTTAAGCTCAGGGTAGAGCTGCCCCTGTGGGATTCTGAGACAGGAACTCTTTCCAGGAGTAAAAAGCCCACTTTTTCTCCCAAGGAGTAGCTGGTGGTCCCAAACTGCTGACCTTGCAGATTGCTGCTCAAAGTATAAGCGCCATGCCATTAGGGCTCCCCAGGTTGGAAGTCAGTGAAGTTATATTGAGATTGATAGCGTGAGATAGAATATTAATTGCGTAATTAGGAGGCAGGATATGAAAGTCTTTTTGTTGGTGTAAGTGAAAGACTGAGAGGGTGGAAGGATATCAGGTCCTGATTGGGGATGGAAATAATAGAGATAAACAAACAGGGGAAAACGAGCTATGGTCTTGTGTTTTGGTCCAAATTATTAACTATGAAGCCAGACTGCTCTTCCAGGAATGCAAATTGAGGGTGGTAAAAAACAAAGTCATGGGTTGGCAAGCAGAAGTTTCTTGGTGCGACAACACATCAGAACTTCTAGAGAAAGACTGCTCCTGATAAGGAGTCAGGCAGGACTGTGACCTGGCTCGAAATAAAGAGCAAACTCATCAGGCCATCAAGCAGAGAGAGATTTCAACAAGTCTCACTCACGTCACCATCGCAGATGCGCTGAGCTAGATGTGTAGGATGGATTAAGCTAAGTGAATTTTGTAAAAGCTCATTTTGCATGCAATTTGTCACCAACCACTCCTCTTACCTCAAAGTTCATTTATCTAGCTCGAAATGCCAAAGACTGCATGGTTTCCTACTACCATTTCTACAGGATGAATCAAACCCTACCTGATCCTGGTACCTGGGAAGAGTATTTTGAAAACTTCATCAGTGGAAAAGGTAAAGGAAATTCCTCTCACCTTTGGGTTCTGTTCCTACTCTAGGTTAGGCTGAGTCTGGGGAATTACACTTAGCATTCTGGTTCCCTACAGTGTTGTGTGCCTCATTAGAGATATCGATGAGGATGGTTCTGCATGGTGCAAATGGATAACGTGCTCTATTGCTAAGCAAAAGGTTGAAGTTTGGAATCTCCATGATATCCTGCAATTCACTGCCAAAAATTCCGTTATTGAAAACTCCATGGAACACAATTTCTTGTCTGGCACATGTGGGGTGCCCATGAGTCAGAACTGACTTGGTGGAGACTGGTTCGGTGACCAGCCAGTGACTGCGGTAGCAAGTTGGCTGTGGCTGCTTTCAGAGTATAACCACAGATCCCTTAGGAAACTTCTTAGACTGAAAGCCCTGACTCTGGTTACCACATCTACAGTTGACCCTCATTTCAGAGGATGCTCCCTTTCCCAGTATCAGGCCATGCATGATTGTATCCAATAAGCACGACGCCTCATTAGGCCCTGATTGGAACAAATGACCCCAAAGGATGACCCGGTCTGCATGACGGCCCACATCAAACACATCAGCCCTCTAGACATTTGGCTGACTCAAAAATTTGTTTTTGTTTCTCTACAGTGCACTTCAAGAAAAAAAAATTCTTCATTGTTGGGAATGTTTGTATAATCCTGATGTAAACTGTTCTTTCCCTTTGTGTCCGGTACAGTGGGCTGGGGTTCCTGGTTTGACCATGTGAGAGGATGGTGGACGAGCAAAGATAGCTATCGGACTCTCTTCCTCTTCTATGAGGACATCAAGAGGGTGAGTCAAGGGCCCTCAGCAGAATCACTGCAGACTCGATACAGAGAAATGAAATGTTGTTGTTTTCAGGGATATACTTCGGGGAAAATATCCTGAAACGTTTACGTATGTCCTTCTGATATTCCCTCCATTCCAATTCCATGTTACCGCAGAACCCAAAGCAAGAAATCCGGAAGGTGATGCAGTTCATGGGAAAGAACCTGGATGAAACCATACTGGATAAAATAGTGCAGGAGACATCGTTCGAAAAAATGAAAGAAAACCCCTTGGTGAATCGTTCTGCAGTTCCCAAATCGGTCATGGATCAGTCCATTTCCCCCTTCATGAGAAAAGGTTGGTGGAATCTATCAAATATTTCACTTTTCTAGTAATAAACATCCTACCTCTTTGCAAGAAGATGCTTGCTAGGTTTTTATTATTTCCAAGACCAGGCTTTTTTAATATTCTTCATACTATCTACTGCTAATGATCATGATGCAGAAGGCAGCTCCTGGAGGTGTTGGTCTGGGGTATCTGGTTGCCAAGAACCAAGAGTAACTTGAGCTAGCCCCAGGAAGAGGGTCTTCTCGTGAAGATTTGTACACAGTGGAAAGGGAAAGGAAACCCCCACAGAGCTAAGAACAGGAGTCACTAGTGGTACAGACCTCAGAAACACACTTGAATCCAAGAAACCCAAGACCTCCACCTCGGGGGTTTATGATACTTTGTTCCACTTCTTCATCGTTTGCATGACCATCTGCTGCGGATCTTTCTCAGGTGGCCAAAATCCTGAGTCTCCACCCTAAATACCTTGTCTCCACTTCATAGCCTCTTCCAATTTAGTATCTGCTCATAACACTTGCTTGACCATTATCCAAATCCACTCTACCCACTGATTTTAATGACAGCTACTGCTGAGAACTTCCTCATTATCTTAATATTTCTTAGTTCCAGTTCCTCACAGAGGAATCCTAACTCACCATAAAACTTCATTTTTTAATTGAAAAGGCAATTCATGCTCATTGTAAAAAATGAAATGAATACGCAAGTAATTTTGAGTGGCGAACTGGGAGGGTAGAGGGAGAATAGGTTGGAAAGAGGGAACCAATTACAAGGATCTATATGTGACCTCCTCCCTGGGG